ATTGACCTAAACTTTTATGTACGGAAAAAATGTAATTAATACATAATTTTTAAAAAAATATATAAATTTTTAATTTTTTTTCTTGCAAAATAAAAGAACCCACGTGACATTAAGTAAAAACATAAATATGCTTTCAAACAAAATTAAAAAATTGGAATTTTTAGATTTTACGATTAGTTTAAAATCACTGTTTCAAACACACATCCTTTTAACTTTTTTTGGTATTACTTCTGCTTTCAAAATATAATTTTTAACTGTGATAGTTATGAAACATGATCATATTAAATAATTAAAATATATTCAAACTTAAATCATAATAGATGTAAATGACCTTATATATAACAGGATTTAAATAAGAATAAATTTTAAAAGTAATTTATACTTAATTTAATATAAAATGCAAGTCAAATTAATTTTTTGCACGAATATAATTACGTATATTTTAAAATTGAAATTATAAGTACAATGCACGAATCAACTTCTGTATTTATGTATGAATACGTACCTATTTTATTACATATAAAACTCTTTGTATTATATTCACTTGTACAAATTAATTTTCATAAAATTCCCTTATATTTGATATTAATATTTGTTTTTTTACTCGTATATTTTTAAGAACATTGGTCGTAGAATGTGAGTGAAAAACACAACCTCATAGAAGTAGTGTAATTCGACGACATTCGAACTAAAAGTGAACTTGAAATTAGTCGGGTTTTTTTGTTGTTGCAATTTTACAATTTGAAATAAATTAATCGGTATTCGATAAAATGGATCATACTTTAATTTCTGACCCGAATTTATAGTTTCCATTGTCACGGCAATGTATAAGTGACCATGTACCAATTTTGGGCGCTGTGGAGGTGTTTATCATTCCCTACGTATAACCGATTCCTGAACTATTAAAATGAATTTTTGATAATACGCAAACCAATTTTTGTCTTTAAAATGATTTTTCTTAAAATTGTTTTAAAAGACATTTTTAGGTATTCAACCTTACTGCATCATCTTATCCACATTCAGTAAATGTTATTGAGCCTCGACAGGGAAGGATTAAGCTGCCCATGAGAAGGCCTAATCCCACCATATGGATACTTTAGAAAAACTTTGATCAATATGTTGTCATAGCATTGTTTTGTGTACTAGTATGTTTGAACATTATTTGTAAGTGTGCCCAATGTTGTTAGTTAAACAATTTAGAAAGTTATGTAGAAGGGTGCCAACTGTTTTTTGAATGTTTTGTTTGTTATGATTGAAATTTTGTATGTAAGTTAAACTCATTATGATGGGTTTTAATGTGTCAATGGGAGATGTTCAAAATGTTTTGTTTAAATGTTATGTTTACTGTGTCAATGGTATAATGTGTTAGCAGTTGTTGAATATGCACTTATTAACACAATTTGCACATTTAGGCACCTTAGTGAGACCAAAAATAAACTTTAGACACCTTATTGAGACCAAAAATAAACTTTAGACACCCTTTTACAACAAAAAATAAACTTTAAGCACCTTGATGTGTTAAAAATAAACTTTAGACTCCCTATTAATACCAAAAATAAACTTTAAGATAACCATATAATCAACATAAAATAAGTTCTTACAAACTAATACAATAAGTTCTTGTAATATTTTTGTCTCATCACATTTAACAATATATGCTCTCTCAAGACCACTTTTTATCAAAATATACATTGACCATGATGTAAGAAAGGCAATTTTGTAAGATCTAATCTTTAATTTTTTTTATCCTCCGCCATTGCTCTCAGCCTTTGAGCTCCAACAATTTTTATAAGTTCCTTTAATTCACTATTTTTGGCTTTGATTTTTTTTATTCTCGACCATCACCATCGATTTTTATAAGTTCCTTTAATTCACTATTTTTGGCTTTGATTTTTTTATTCTCGACCATCACCATTTCAAGTGTTGCTCTCAATTCTTCAACTACACAACCACTATCTTCTTCTTTTTCAATCCATTTAAAGAAATTACATTGATTCTAACAACATCCAAATGTCCAATTCAAATTACAAACAACCATCAATTAGTCCAATTACATGTAAAAATCAAAATAGTGTATTTCAAATTAGATACAAGCATCAATTACAACATTAGAATTACAACAAATATGTTGAATTTCCAAAAGTACATGCAGCTTTCAAAGATCAATTACAACATTCAAAGTAAAAACAAACCAAATATGTTGAATTTTCAATAGTACATGCAACTTTGAAAGATCAGTTACAAAATTTAAAGTAAAAACAAACTAAATATGTTGAATTTCGAGTTGATTCATTATCAAACAAAACAAAAAAACATGTTTTCCAATCTATTTAATAGCACATTTTCTCATCAAAATAACAAATTTTAAATTTTTGTTCTATAATTTTACGAATTAATTTAGGAGATTCAAAAAAAATTTTACCTCTTTCATTTGTGCACACCCATAAAATCTTCTTCCTTTGCTTCGAGGTACATTTCAACTACCAATCAGAGACATCATCCCTCAATAACAATATTCGACCCTTAAACTATGACATGATTTCGAAGATTCACCCGACATTGTTCACAATTTTGAAGATAAAGAGATAATAAGATCAAAACCCTAGTTTCAGGAAGAATAGATGATGATGAGAGTGAAAGAGGAGGAGAAGGGAAATCAAAGAAGAACGAACTAGGATGAGAGGAGGTGTTTTGTTTTATAAGAGAATGAGGGAAGAGGATAAACGACAGAGAAGAGAGGAGAATCGTGGTAACTTTTAGATATTTACTTTCTAGGTTAAAAATTAGTTTAAATGTTAAGATTAAAATATTAATTTTAATATTCTAATCTTTTTATTTTTTATGTTTTTAATTTAATAGAAAATTGAAAAAAGAATTTGTAATAAGTGTCACGTGTCAGAAAATGAATGAATAACAATTTTAACTTAACGACCGCTATGACCGAGGCACCTCAATGGGTAACGTTTGTAATGTTAGGCACCTAAATTAGTCAAAAAATAGTTTAGTTATCTATTTAAGAAAAACGGTATAGTTTAGACACTTATTTTGGCATTAATCCAATCAAAATATATAACTTATGGAAACGACTTAAAACATATATATTTATAATTTAGTCTATAGGAGTATAAATAGTTATGGATGTGTGAATCCCCTGCCCTTTGTTAAATAACAGAGAATGATCATCTTCCTTTTCATCTGTTTCGTGCAAAACGAGACAGAGGGTTGGGATTTGGTGATCTCAAACCGTTTAATCTCGCTCTCATCGGTAACCAAGTTTGGAAAATGCTCCAACCTCCAAACTCCATGCTTTTTAAGGTTTCTAAAGCAAAATATTTTCCCAACACAAGCCTTTTGGATACTAAGATCGGGTGTGGTTCTTTTGCTTGGTCAAGTTTATGGAAAACAAATAAGGCTCTCAAAGAAGGATTTTTGAGGAGGATCAGGTTCAATGAGACTACACGTATCCATCTCGACAAGTGGGGTGGTTCCAAACCGGTGACTTTCTCCTCGCCATACCTGGACAATCCTGCCCAACCACTACTGGTCAAAGATTTCATGATCGAGGGTCAACCAAATTGGAATCTAGACAAAGTAAAGATGGTTTTCCCCGAGGACAATGCAACCGAAATTCTCAACACACTAATTTTCGCGGTGGAGGCTGACCGACTTCTCTGGGAGCATCATAATAGTGGACGATTCTCAGCCAAATCAGGATATAGCTGGCTCCTAATGAAGAAAGGAACCGTACGCGACACTTCAAAGATTTGGAGAACGATGAGCAAGCTTCTTACTTCCAAAAATAAAGATATTTGGTTGGAGAGTCCGTCACGATGCCCTACCAACGGGAGAGAAGCAGATGCACGCTGACATTGGTGATGGCCTCTTCCCCATTTGCAAGCAGGTCGTTGAAACTTTGTTACATGCGCTAAAGGACTGTTGTCAAACTAGGAAAATTCTTGCTTTTTCATGGCTAAGGAACTCGCTTATTACTGATGTTGTTATCTCATGTAAAGTTTGGTTTGAAAGAGTTGCTTCGTATTATGATCAAGATGGCTTCACTCGATTTATCAATCTTATTTGGAATATTTGGAATCGAAGAAACAAAATGATTCATGAGAAGGCTCTTCAAGATGACAGGGAGGATATCTATGCGTCATGGGAGTTGGGAACTGCGTTCAAGCTTACTGGTACTCCTTTCACTGGTTCTAATGTAATGAGTGGTTCCACTGTGGTAAAATGGTGCAGACCCATTGAAGGAATCATTAAAATAAATGTTAATGGAGCCTATCATCAACTTTTAGGGAATGCTACAATCGGGATTGTGGCCCGGAATCACCATGGGATGGTTATAGGAGAAATGGCGCGGAAACTCGACCCCCTCAAACCTCTGGATCAGCAGAGGTATTGGCTTTCGTGTTCGGTATTCGGATGGTTGTTGATCATGGATGAGATCGGGTGATTGTCGAAGGGATGCTATATCTATCGTCAACGGACTGTCTAATCCTATTGAAGACATTTCGGTGATCGGCTCGATCCTCAATAAGGCTCGGAGTATCATTGAGAACCACCCTAATCTCAAGGTTCATTATATCAACAGGAAGGCGAATAGAGTTGCACATTCACTATCGCTATGGGCTTTTTCGATTACTAATCCTCTATGATTTTATTTTGATGACCCGGATTGTATTAAGAATTGTATTAAGAACGATGTACTTCTTGACGCTATTAGTATCTAATGAATGAATCTTTTAAAAAAAAACACCCACAACTTGTCTCGTCACAAAAAGATCAGAATCCATAGATCTTAACTCAAACTCATATACAAGTTTAATGAACTCTATGACATGTTAATTGTACTCGTATTAAATTTAAATGCAAATACAATACTTATATACTTTCATCTTATTAATTCTTAGCTTGGCTTGCCAAGTATATAATGATTTAAACAAAATTCATTAGTACATATGATATTAAATTATTTGTGGGACATATAAAAATGCACAAAAGGGCATAGGATCCTTGTTCATGAATTATATAAACCATACTTTGTCAACATTACATTTCCAGTTGGTAAAGATGCATCTACTTTATTTTTTAAAGCAATATTTCTACGCTTTAACATTCAGGCATTTATTCCATTAAAAAAAATTCAGGTATTTTTCATGTCTACGACTTTATAAAATTCCCTCTGCTCGTACTCATCAGTGATAAACAACTCAAGTTTCTGGCAGCTTTACGACATGCTTCTCATTTCATCACCATAAGTGGCCTCATCATCGCATTATCTTCGTGATCCAATATCTGCATTCTCAGAAAATATTCAATATTCAATATTTCACATTTAAATATAGAAAAATATATATAATAAAAAATAAAGATACTTACATGACAATGATACACGTAACCGGGCATCCCAGTTGGATCAAATGTGTATGACGTGTTTGAATGTATGTAAGAAAACCTAACCAATATTCTTGTCACGTATCCAGGTGTCATCTTATACACATTCTTCCACCCCTTCTCATGTGCTGGCACCTCTATTTTTCTGCCACGTGAGTACTTGCTTATTTGGCACTTGACCGCGTCGTTCTTTCTCGACATGCATCCCTTGAACTCCTCTTCGTTTACTAGCTCCGTTTGATCCAACACCCTGAACAGTCCCAAATGGATGTGCATTGGATGATTATCCTCCGTCAGATTAACCACATTCCAGATCTCGCTCGTCCCCGCCTTTGGTGTCTCCGTCACTGGCGCTTCGTACGGCTTCGCATTGATGTAAAGATGTGTAGGCTCGTCGATGTCGCTAGTGTATTCGTACATCGCAATATACCTTGTATGCGTCGCGCTAGATGAATCCGCCGACGGATATTTGATCAGTTTATTGGGTACTTGCGACATGTCGAGTTCCGGCATTTTCTTGATGATGAATTTCATGATCTTACCGTTTGATTCATTGACCGGATCGCCGGAAGGGTAAGGGTAGGGTGCATCGTTAGCTAGAACAGCTTCATCGGTCTTTGACTTTGAAAAGTCAACGACCACGTCAGCAATCTCAGACGGTGCGAGTAGAGTTTGATTGGTCACCACGGGTTCCCCAAGATAAGTCGAGTCGGATGCCACGTGGACAAATTCCAAGCCATTCGTGAAGAAAAATCTGAAGAATCTAGCATTGCTGGCATTAATTATACGGAATCTGTACTTACGACGTCGTACCGTCATCTTCGGCCACGCTTTGCCGTTCACTATGATTACATCGCCGAAATATTCCGGCTGCCACTGGGGATGTATAGATGGATTATTTCCGGTTGAATTCATGTATAAGGATCCATCCGTACGAAACCCACGATCGAAAAAGAATAAATGCCGGTCGAACTCGTCGCCGGAGGGAAGTTTAAGTGGGCCCTCGACCTCAGGGTGGCGAATAACGTAGGCCCCAATCAGGCCGGCCAATAGGTTGACTCGGGTCAACCCCATGGTATGATCATGATACCAGAGATTTCCAGGCTGTTGATTATTGTTGTAGTGGTATACCCTCTTAGACCAGGTGGGACCCTTATCTTTGAATCCAGCGGTGAACCACGAGTTCGAGTTCCCATCGCTGGCGGGTTCATGGATGCCGCCATGGAGATGCACAACGGTGGGGATCCCCGTCTGGCTGGCGGGTACGGCGGTGGGGATTGTAGGATCCCATGGCAGTATGTGCTTTGGAGGGAGATGGTTTCTCCACGTCACGTATGTGTCGACGCCGTAAAGTGCTTCGATGGTCGGGCCAGGGACCGTCGCGCTGCGCCTTGAAGCACCGTAGGCGAACACCGGCGTCGGAGGCAAGTCCCTGTGGAATCTCTGCAATCTCGAAAACAGACAAAGACAAAGACAAAGTTGATCGATTACCATGATGTTGAAAAAAACAATATCTCCTCGAATTTACCAACGTCATTTAATTAAAATCTAGAAATAATCGTGTAAACTGAAAACTAATTAATCAAACTACAACTCATAGCTTAAACTACATCACTCAACTCGCTATCTACTTTATACTGGTAAAGCACCAAGGCTCTCAACTTGCTTTTGTGTTTATGTAATAACGTGAATTTGCAAAAGTTTTTCTTTTCTCCACGTTTTCCCCTATAATAAAAGTATCAAATATTGCCATAAAATTAAAAAAAAAATGAGCTACAGGAAGGAAGAAACTAAAGAAAAAAAGGAATTGGCTTTACCCATTTCTTCATAAACATGCCAATGGAGAGTGACGTAGCTACAGGGGAAGCATTCACCGTACGAAAACCTCTGATTTTGGGCATATCCGGAAGCTCATCGACGAACATCTCCAACCGTGATGGGTTCAGAATCGTATCTTCAGCGGTGAGCTCTCCCGCGAGAGCTAAGAGCAGGAGATGAAACAGCAGAAAACTCCTCATGGGAAGCCAAAACAGAGAGAAAAACAGAGGCAGAGATAAGTCTTTTGGAAGCGATGACCACTTGCTGGTTTACTTTACTCACGGGTTAACCTCTTTTAGATTCTATCTGTTTATATAGCTCCGATGTTAACATCTCTAATCTGATTTATATCTGCACATTGTGGTTTATCATATTAAGACCCTACATTAATAGCCACTAACCTCTGGTTTTATTATTTTTATGTTTGACATCAAATAATGATATTTTATTGTAATCATATTAGAATTTTGTGAAAAAAGAGTATTTCCGTATTTAAGTGTTTTATTTTAATTTAATTAATTTTAATAAGAAAAATCAAATAAGTCTAGACCATGTATTCCATTCTTACCCGAATGGAATTTATTCTATATCAATGGCATTTCTACTTCTTCGTAGCCAGATTTTTGTGGTTGACTAAGAAATATGAGTAGACTAGCGTGTACTGAATGGAACCCTACATTTGGCTGGAATTATCAATCTTTTTGCAGATTCTGTTCCCATTGAAACCTATCGTTTTTGTCTCTATTATTTCCACATTTTAAACCTTTTCTCTCTCTGCTCTATTAACTGTTAACATCACTTCCCCCGAAGTCACCCCACTGCTTTGGGCTAAATTACATAACTGACACCGTTTGATTATAATTTTACTTTTCTGACATCGTTTGACCAATATTTCCAGAACTAGCACCCTTTCTGCTGAGTTGGCAAAGGCGCGTCCCCGGGGGCGTGCTTTACCTGTGTTTTTCGCTGAGTTGGATGCCACGTGTGAAAGGCACGTCCCCGGGGACGCGCCTTTGCCAACTCAGCAGACACGTATTTTATTATATAATAAATAGTTTATTTTTATTATTATTATAAATTAATAATATATTATGTAAAATGTTTCGATTATAATGTAAGAATTATCAAGTTTCGAGTATTTTTGATTTTGATTATCGATCTATTAATTTTATCAGTTAATTATTTAAATGTTATCAATCAATCTAGTAATCTCATATCAATATTTAACGAAAATATTGATGCATAAGTTAATAAATTAGTATAATTACATATTTAATCTTCAAGACTTACATATTTTATAAAATTAGTCTTATTGAAATTTTAATTTAATAAAAAAAAATTATTTAGGTGTACATACATTGATAAATTATATAAATGCAATAACATTAAATTATGAGAAATAAAAACATTCATTTAAAAACTTTAATTACATAAGAGTTAACGGTTATATGATGATAACAGAGCTGGACATTTTTTTCTATTGTGCCCGATGTTTCTACAATGCCCACATCGTTTTTGTTCTGTTGACTTCTCCCGAATATCCATATCACAATGTATTCTAGTAGATTTTGGACGACCTGAGTCCCTCAATAGCAATGGATCTGGTACAATTGTAAGCCAAGTTTGAATCTCATTTGAGTCTCTTTCGTTTCCTATGGGCGGAAACTCAAATTCATATACCTTGAAAACTTGTGAAAGTTGGTATACGGGATCAACATAATTTTTGTAGTCCAAATGCGAATGTGAGCAAGCAGCAATGACATGAGAGCATGGATATTTGAGTGCTTGAAAGAAACCACAATCGCACCACCTCTCTTGCAGATTAACTCTGAAAGAGTTAGCTTCAATCCCTTGCAGCGGACGTGGCATTTCGGTTACACGAAACAATTCACGGGTGCGAGAAAAATTTGTAACTAACATCCCATTTGATGCAGCCACTTTTTTCTGTAAATCGGCTACTAGTCTTGGGTGGTAAATATGTCCGTTTTGCATCCAAGTAAGAGCTTGTCCACCGAGTTTTGCAAAGAGTTGACCCAAACGAAAATAAGTCGTTTTGACCAACGCCGTGACTGGTAAATGACGCGCCCCCTTTAAGGTTGAATTTATTGCTTCAGCCAAGTTTGTTGTCATATGACCATAGCGATACCCCCGTCATATGCATTTGTCCACATTTCTTTGCTGATGTCCATAATGTACTCGCACCCCTTCTTATTTTTGCCAAACAGCTCTTGTAGCATCGACTCAAACCTTTGAGGTAAGAGTTCGTAACCTAAGCCATTAGGAATATGTAATAGTTAATAAGTATAAATAAGTAATAAGAAATTGATAGAAAAATTGGGAAAAAGTAACATACCCATCCGCACGACTAACTGACGTTCATCGTTCTTCTTGTATTTCCGTAATAGTTTGCAGCAATATGACGGACACAATAACGATGTTGAACATGTGGAGGTCTATACATTGTACCCAAAGAGTCCATTGCTGCTTTTATCCCGGCTCCTCGGTCTGAAATAATGCATAGTCGTTCCCTGGTGACAACATGTAAACGTAAATTTTTAAGGAAAAAAGCCCAAGACTCAGTGTCTTCTCCTTGAACGAGGGCAAACGCAACAGGAAGAATATTGCGGTTTCCATCTTGGACCACAGCCAATAATAAAACTTGCTTGTATTTCCCATACAAGAAAGTACCATCAATTTGGACAATTGGTTTACAGTACTTGACTGCATTAATACACTGAGGGTAAGTCCAAAAGACTCGGTAAAATTGGCAGCGATCGCGAACCATTTGATCATTCACGTAATGATGTTGAGTTTCGAACTCAACAATTGTCCCGAGATTAAGTCTTTGCACAACATGAAACCAACTGGGCAGCTCGTTGTAAGAGGAATCCCATTCGCCATGAAGTTTGCAAATGGCATTCTGTTTTGCCAACCACGCTTTTTTATATGAGACAGTGTACCCATATTGTGACTGTATAGCAGAAATCAACACTGCAACAGCTATATGAGAGCTTTGCTTCACAATGGGCATGATTGCTTGACAAATAATGTTGGAGTCCAAGTTGGGATGATCCTGGTTTATACCTGTTGCACAACATGTATGAGGACCGTTGTATCTGGTTAGTTCCCATAAGTTGTTCTTCCTCTTCCTCTTTGATACACGGACCATCCATTGACATCCGTTGTGACGTTGGACGCAGTAGCAGACATATTTCTCCGTGTTAGATCGATCAACTCGGGACTGAACTGAGTTACGAATATTGTAACTCTTTATTGCCATCATTGCTTCCTCCTTCGATGCGAACTCCATTCCAATATGTAAATTACCGTCATTGACTGATGATTGAAGTCCATAGTTGCCAACATCAGGAAGATCTGGAAATTCAGGCTCATACATTGCATCATAATCAGCCTCATACATATGTGCAGGAAGTTCGGCTGGTGTTGTATTTATCGGAACGTCATCCTCGTCATCATCAGAATGTACGTTAAACTGTGGTGAGTCAGGTTCAACGAATAATCCCGTTTCAGCACCATCTGCACCTGGCTCCCGAAGAGGTTCTTCTGGTGGAGATGAGGGTTCCTCCGATAATCCAATGTTGAGGTCAAATAAGTTCCCGCTTGCGTGTCCTCCCCTTGAACTTGAGGCCATTGTATCATGTGGGATGTGAATAGACTGTCGTCTCGTTGGCATTTCCATATGTAAGTCGAAAACATTGGCAGATGAATGTCTGCCCCTTGAAGTAGAAGAGATGTTGCCATATGGATTATTGGTGAAGCCACGTGGGTTGAGATCATAAGCAGTTGCAGATGAATGCCTTCCTATTGAACTTGATGGCATGGTATATGGCGTTGGATCCGCCATTAATGATGTGAAATCATTACAGATAAGTTGTGTCGGGCTATCAACTTGATCAGTTTGATATGCAATGCCAAAGTGAGAGGAATATGAGAGACCACGAGTTACACGAACCTCAATAAAAGTGGCATACATTTCAATAAGAGATTGTGAACTCCCCATATGAGCATCAACCATCATAGAAACATCATCATCGTTTGAAAGCTGAAATGATGTATACGTGAGCGGAAAAAGTTCAGTAGGAAATCTGTATTGAAGTGAAGATAGTCTTCTCTGGCCTGCTACACGAATCTTTAACGAAATTTTTGTGATTAACTCCTCAATTGTGATGTTTCTCTTCAAGGTTAAGGGGATATAATGATCTGACTAAAAAACAACCCCCTCTTCAGCTTCCTTAATTTCTCCATCATACAAAACAACAGCAGAAAGACGACTCATTTTCAGAGAATTTGAGAATTTAGAGTTTGGGAATTTGAGAATTTGAAAGATTGTGAACTGAAGTTTGTTTTGAAAGTTTATAATACGTTGCATATAATAGTGTCTATAATCGGTTCACTATTCACATGAAGGCGCGTTCCCGGGGGCGCGCCTTCCATTATTTCGTCAGAGAATATTATCATTGCCCTATTATGTCATTCATGTCCATCGGGGACACTAGATATATCAGTACCTATTATTTCACTATTCACATGAAGGCGCGTTCCCGGGGGCGCGCCTTCTATTATTTCGTCAGAGAATATTATCATTGCCCTATTATGTCACTCATGTCCCTCGGGGACACTAGATATATCAGTACCTATTATTTCACTATTCACATGAAGGCGCGTTCCCGGGGGCGCGCCTTCCATTATTTCGTCAGAGAATATTATCATTGCCCTATTATGTCATTCATGTCCCTCGGGACACTAGATATATCAGTACCTATTATTTCACTATTCACATGAAGGCGCGTTCCCGGGGGCGCGCCTTCCATTATTTCGTCAGAGAATATTATCATTGCCCTATTATGTCATTCATGTCCCTCGGGACACTAGATATATCAGTACCTATTATTTCACTATTCACATGAAGGCGCGTTCCCGGGGCGCGCCTTCCATTATTTCGTCAGAGAATATTATCATTGCCCTATTATGTCACTCATGTCCCTCGGGGACACTAGATATATCAGTACCTATTATTTCACTATTCACATGAAGGCGCGTTCCCGGGGGCGTGCCTTCCATTATTTCGTCAGAGAATATGTTATCATTGCCCTATTATGTCACTCATGTCCCTCGGGGAATAACTTAAATTTAACTTCTTTTGAAAGTTCAACAAGTTAAGAATAACTTAAATTAAACGTTATGTGAAGTTTGAATAAATTAGATAAAATGTTATGGATAAATTGAATAAATGTGAAGTGATAAGTTGATTGTGACATTGAAATTGTATGGAATGAGCA